AAGAAATGAATTAAGGAACCTTTTTACCCATTCGACGTCACGTCGTTGATGTGGTTACCGCGTAAAAGGAAGAGGAATGGAGGACTAAAAGAACACGCAAACGACGTCTGAACCATTACCGTTTTGACTCGATGCACGTCGAATAACAGCGTTTTCGCGGGTACTTAACGGAACTGTTAAAAAATAAATAACTAATGGTTTTTGTTTAAAGACTATGGGTGTTTTCTAATTTGAATCATGATTCATAATTTATTATAGTATTTTTTTTTATAAAAAATACACATAAATTAAAAATAATTCTAATCTCATGATTCTAATTCATAAATTAAACAAGCTATTAATTTTCATTGGGCAACAACATAAATATGCACAGTGCCGCAACACAGGAACATAGAATGGCGAAATAGATTAGACCCTCATTTATTTCAACAATTTTGAGTTATTCATTTTAATTTTATTACAATTAAAAATTTTCATAAAAATTATTTTTAATTTTTTTAACTACGGTTAAAATTTTTTATATAAAATCACTTGAAAAATCCAATGAAGTGATTGAAGTAATATTAGACCTAATTCGCTTTGTGAATTCGAGTTTTTAATTTAAACTGAGATGTAATATTTGATAATAATTTTTTACTGTAAAAAAAAATTAAATGTAATATTTTTTAAAAAATTTTAATTAACGAGGTCTTGAACTCACGATCTTATGTGACACTTAGGCCCCGTTTATTTCGCCGATTCGAGTTTAGAATTCGAGTTTTATTACAGTAAAAAGCTCTTAGAAACAATCACATCTAATTTTTTTGTTACAGTAAAAAATTTGCACATAAAGTTATATCTCAACTCAAATTAAAAACTCAAATTAACGAAGTGAACGGACTCTTAATAAAGCGGGCACCACCAATTTGTTGTTTTCCTTATTTTTTATGCTTCGGTAAAATAAAATAAAAAACAGGGCAAGGACTTTCGTTCTCCATTTTTTTTCCATCATCATCCTTGTTGTTGGGGTCTTTTTTAGTTGAGCGTATGCAGATACTATGTATGTATGGGAAAAAAAGAAAGGAAAAAAAAAAGATCTTCCAAAATGACAAGTTTTGAAGGAAGGCCAAGCCGAGAGATGAATGCCGGAAATCGGAAGCTGTGAAGAAGGTAAGGAAGCTGATGGGGTGACGATGATTTTTCTTGGGCAATCTTCCAAGAGACACCGTCAAGTATCGGAAAACGCCAAAGACCGGGAGCCATTTCTGCTTGCTTAAAGTTCCACCCCGAGTCTATTGTTGAAGAAGCACGGAAGTTCATCAATGATGTTTGGTCATTTGAAGATGTCGAAACTTGAAATCTGATTTGGTTAGAGAAGCCTAAAAGAGGCTCTTAGAAACAGAGGTAGAGTAATCTAAATATCTTTCAGATTTAGTTTATCTTGCTTGTTGGAGTTAAAGTTCAGAAAGGCGCGAGGACCCTTTTTTTTCCTCATTAGAAGGGCTCTTTGCTTCTTATCTTCATTGGCAAAGCTGTGGAGCTTTAAAGCTTACAAAACCCATATTGTTGAAATATACACATTGGCCGTAGAGTAAGTAAAACACATCTTGAATACCCATACGGAAGTTTTTTTTTTTTTTTTTTTTTTATCCATGAAGAACGAGTTATGGAGAGAAGTTGAAAACAAAGAGAAAGAAGAAACATATCGATTAAGGGTGGAGCAAGAAATTCTCAAAACGATGACAAACATACGGCTATTATCTCTTCTGATCACGCACTGGCGAGAATGCAGAGGAAGAAGAAACTATGAGTGGGGAGAGGCAAAGGCGAAGACATAATCCTTGTACAACCCTCAAGTTCAAGAGAAGACTCACGTTTTTATCTTTTCTTTTTTTTATTATTTTTTTTTTCACTTGAGAAAAACGCTCCACGGACTGATCAGGGACAAAAATTAGAGGGTATTTTTAAGCTTTGTTTTGTTCGTTAATTTAAATTTTTAAATTGAGTTGAGATATAATTTTATATGAGAATTTTTTATTATAAAAAAAATTAAAAGTGATTATTTTTAAGAGTTTTTTATTATAATAAAACTTAAATTATAAATTTAAATCCATAAATTTAGAGATTTTAATTTAACAACACATGTGTTGTCCTGAACTATTAATTCCAATTAAGCGGTTACTTAAAAGGTGACCTACCGGTAGGCTTAAAGGATGGGAGTACGTGAGAAATTGCCTAAAGACTCTGTCTTTTTTTTTTTAGTATGTTTGAAGACTATAGTTTCGTTTATTTTACCGATTTGAGTTTTCAGTTTTAGGTTTTTACAGTTAAAAATTCTCAAAAAATGTCAAATCTAACTTTTTCTGCTACAGTGAAAAGCTCTTAGAAAATATCACATCTCAGCTCAAATTAAAAATTCAAATTCGCAAAGAAAACAAGGCCTATGTTACTTCTTGCCAAAAAAAATACAAACACTAATGTTATTTCTCTCCAACGCTGGGAGATATGGTCCCTCCAAAAGGACTATAAATAAACTTATAGTCCCTCCATAACGACTATAAAAAAGCTTATATATATATATATATATATATATCAATATTTTTGTATTGTCCTCCTTCGTAACTTGCTAGACCACTATAAAACAAACAACTTGTTTGTGTATAAAGTCCTGATGCCCGTACGTAATACGTATACACAGCAAAGCGAAATAACAAAGAAGCAACATAATTGCACAGATTTGGGGGAGATTGTTATCCACCCAATTAAGTATTTCAGACATCGAATAAATTACAAAGCAGGAACAAATCTACTTATATACAGGAAACAATAGAACATTACAATAGGCCACTATATCAAGTCATTAATCTGCCGAGACAGAGAAGCCTTGTGGTTTCCGAATCACAAACCAAATATGTGATCGTTTGAACCAAATATCGCAGCATTGTACTGCCTTGTATTCAAGTCACTCCCATCCAAAGCAGAACCAAACCGATCGAGCCACTGACTCGGGCTCGAATTATCACTCTCCTCTACCCATTCTGAAGTCATATCAATATCGTCGAATTGGATCGGATCGGCTTCTATAGATTTCGTTCTTGTATGTCTAGCTAACTTGAGATTGTAATTTATGTACACAAGGTCATTCAACGTTTCTCTATCGATCTTATTGCGTTTCTCGGAGTGGATTTGCTGAAATGCACTCCAATGCCTCTCGAAAGTGAAACTGCTGCAAACTTGACTAAGTATTCTGATTGCAACTCGTTGCAACACGGGCGCAGAGTCACCATATTGTTCCCACCAAAGCCCTGTAAAAGAATTACCAATAACATTGAAAATCCAATATATATAGCGAGAAAACGGAAATGCAAACCAAGTCGGATATACAGTATTGTCTAACTTGGCATGTACTTTTTGAAGCATGACAATCTTTCTTTTCTTCAAGGATTTAAGGAGCAAAACCAGAAGGGTTTCACGCATAATGGAGCACTGTCATAGTAGATGGATATGTTTTTATCAGAGGTATACACCTAGATACAGATATATAATGAATGCATATTGTAAATTTACCAGGTGAAACCACATCTCTCGCCTCCATAGCTAGGCTGCAGCCGAACATACTCATCGCCTTTGTGAAAGTAAATATCTGGCTGGTGATATCGCGTCTCATTTCGGGAAGAGGGAGTAGCTTCTCCAGAACTTTGAAAAAGTCTTCTTTTATAGAACTAAGAAACTTTATTTCTGGATTGTACTGAATGCTAGGGTTCAAAAATGCTGCTGCTGAATGTAGAGGTGAATGGAGTTGGTCTCGCCACTTCCTGTCTACTATGTCTAAAAATGTCTTGCACTTGTTTTCATCCATTATATAGTACGTCCTTATAGATTCTTTTGCCCTTGTCATTAACTCGTATATAGAACCCACCGCAGGCTTCCCTCCGGCGACTTCCCTCAACACTTTCAGAAAAGGCTCGGATATGGCCACGGATTCTTCCACCGCCCTCCAGAAATCACTATCCTCAACGATGGAAATACATGATATGCTCTGTGGTTTATTTACATACAAGGAGTTTGTACAGTATTCAGGGCTATTAAACATATGCTTCAACCTCGACTTTTGCTTCAAGATAGACTGTAGTGAAAGGAAGCTGGATACAGACTTCGTAATACCGGTCCTAATGAGTTCTTGTCCTCCAGTGTACTTTTTCATTAGATCAAGCATAGAGGCACTGTTATATATGAACTTTGATATGGTTTGACCCTGTAAAATGCATCTATTCACCCAATCTACCTTTGAGAATTCCTCTAGGATTAGATTCAAGCACTGAGAAACACAAGGAGACACAAAAATCGTTGAATAATTCTGCAAAATGTGGTTTGCGACACCGGTATAGTTGAAGCTGCTATCCATTATAACCTGTACAACATTATCCGGGCCAAAATCTTGAATGACTGAATCAAATAAGTCAGCAAGGCATTTCATGTTCTTAAAATACGCGGATGCATCAACGGATTTGTGAAAAAAGGTCCTGGAGGGCGACGAAACTAGAAAGTTGATCAAAGCTCTTGATTTGTTGTCAGTCCATGTATCGGCAATTATAGTGCAGCCTGTTGTCATCCATTCTTTCTCAATGTCTTTTGATTGTAGGCTCATTTCTGACTTGATCCTTTCCAGCCATGTAGTCTTGAGAGTTTCAGCGGATGGACCGGTGAATCCAGGACCGCACTTTGCTATGGCATCAACCATTAGCTGATAGGACGAAGAGCGAGCAATACCGAAATCCAGCTTATTCTCAAAAAAGAACAGGGCAATGCTTCTCTCCGCATTTTCTTGGCTGTTCAAAGAGGGAGGAGCTACGGGAGTGACAGCTGGGAAAACTTTTGCGACCGGAGATGTTGTGTCTGTAGACACAAGGGCTTTGCTCGCAGAAACATTTCCGGGAGATTTCACTTCCACCAGCTTCTGCTTTTTGGTGCTAGATGTTTCCTTAACATCTTCCTTTGATGCTATAATAGCTCTCACCCTATCAGTCACATCATCCCTTACTTTGCTACACGGGTTTACGCCTTTGCTTGGAAGCCTAGAGAGATGATGCTTCAACCTACTAATGCCTCCATTCAGAACTCTCAGGCAGAATTTACACCTCACCTTGTTTCCATCTAATTTTTCAGCATATTCCCAACAAACATCTTTTTCTCGTACCACTGTCACAATATAAGCAGATAAATCAATACATTTTTCGAAGTTCATAGTTCCTATACTTCCAACAACTAGATTTTCACGCATCAAAACACAAATCCATTCAAGCTTTTGACTTGAAATGTTATACTCATTACAAATTTTCATTTGGAAATGTGAAGGACACAGAAATTAATCCAATTTTTATTTAGAACAACACTAGTATGTTGTCACTCTAGTAATAATTATTACAGCTTAATCATTGCTAAACTTACTGAGGATAAGAAAAATGTTGTGTGGTTCTGTACGTCGACCTACAATGAAGCAAGTCAACAACATTAGTCATAACAAACTATGGATAACTGTCTAATTTGCATTCTTGAAAGACGAGGGCCCCGTTCACTTCGCTGATTTGAGTTTATAATTTGAGTTGAGATGTTACTTTATGTGAGAGCTTTTTACTGTAGCAAAAAAGTTAGATGTGATTGTTTGTGAGAGTTTTTTACTGTAGAAAAACTCGAATTCTAAACTCGAATCAGCGAAGTGAACGGGGCCGAAGTATCTGTAAAAAAACTCGAATTCTAAACTCGAATCAACGAAGTGAACGGGGCCGAAGTAAATCTAAAAAGTGAAAAAGACGCTCATTTAAGCCCTTTTAACTTTTTTTGCAATTATTTAAGCCCTTAACTCGATCACTATAATTTTCAATAAAGTTGCCACCTTTTAAGTTGGAGTTGAAAAATAAATGGATTGTCACGAGAATGGAAGCATTTTCTAATGAAACCAAAGTTCAGTTTTTTTTTTTCTCCGTTCTTTTTTCGGGTTTTTTTTTTTTTAATTCTCAAAAGAGAAAAAAGTTCAGTACTTTTCTCGCCCGAGTAATTTATGTCGAAAAGAATTGTAAAATTATATTTATATATCGTAACTTCTCAAGCTTCAATACCAATTTTCTCTATTTTCTTATCATTCAAGCACAATACTTTCTGTGAGATTACAGATTCAATTTCCCAACTTTGTTATTTTCTGTATTAAAAAGCAAATCTTAAAAATCAGAACTTTTTGGTAGGAAAGTCGTCCATTTTCCGTCAAGACAATCAGAGAGCTACGGTGAGGGTTCGCTCTTTAAGAAATCCCAAAATTTTATCTTTTTACACTTTCTTAGCACCCGAACAGAAAATCCAAACGTGAAATCCAAATCCTAAATACCGCGAGCGAGTTTATTAGATATAAGGGAAAGAAAATTGATTGGGAAATTCGAAGAGAGAGAAGATTTTAAAATGAAAAGAAGAGAAATGGCGAGAAATTTAAGGAACTTACAGCGAGGGAGAGATTGGTCTTCTCTTCTATCTCGACGGAGAGAAAAACGGAGGCTGCAATAAAAGATTTTTGGGGAGTTTCGTATTACTTATCGCGATATTTTGGAGTTTTTTTTTTTTTTTAGGGTTTCGTTTCCGGTATTTCTGAGTGGTTTTTCTTTAATGAATTTCGATATTTCCTTCTCTTTTCCTTTTGATTTTTTATTTTTACGTCCTAATATAATATTGGTTTTCGCGATATATCGCGGACTGTTTGTCGATTTCCCCCACTAGGATGTTGCCACGCAGACAATTTTTTGATTAAGGAACGATTTTCTCGGACATTATTGAGCTTAATGAGAAATTAGAGAAAAACGACGTCGTATGAGAAGTTCTTGGGGGGAAAAAAAACGGACGCGGAAAGCCATTCTCAAGTATATCAGAGCCAGGTTTCGATCCTGGGACCTGTGGGTTATGGGCCCACCACGCTTCCGCTGCGCCACTCTGATTGTTGATATTATTTGTAATATAATAGTATTATAAATTAATATTTATTTGTTCCTTCATGCAATGGTCGCGTACTATAGTTGCTTTAGGAAAAAATACAAATTGATATAAGAAAAAACGAATTATTAAGATAAGATAAAAAAAAAATCAAAGAATTTTCTTTACTTAGCCTACTCTTTCCATTTGGGCAAAGGAAATTTTGTTTTAGAAAAAGGTCTTAATGGGAAATATATGGACCTCTTAAAGGTTACCTAGCATACGTCATAACACATTGTTCGAATATATAGACACCAATTCTATTTGTTGATTCTTTAGGTATGTTGACAAGTTCTTGATTTACCAAAAGACTATATAACCTCTCTGTCCTTGTCAAAAATATTCGATTGAGAATTGGATATTCATGAAACCAATAGGTCAATGGTTTTGGCCTAACTTTATCAATCATATTGAAAGTGAAAACCTTTTCCCAAATGTAATAATTTGTTTCTAAATTCCCTTTTATCTTTTTTTACTGATCACTTTCGGAGGGAGAATCATCATCTCCATTTTATTTGTTATCACTATCTAGATGGCTACTTAATTTATTTGGTAAGGTCAAAATAAACGAGTTGAAAAAAGTACATATGATCGTCCCCTTTTTGTCTAAATCCTCTAAAATCAATATTAGCCGCAAATGTCTATAGTTTTTGCAAGTTTTAAAGCATTCAAGCTTGAATCCTCTCTCCCTCTGTTTTTTGTTTTTTTTTGTTTTTTGTTTTTCCTCAGCAAGAATTTTCTTACATCTTTGCCGCCAGAGGGAAAAAGAAATGTCAAACCATATGGTTTCATCAATAAATTAACTATACATATTCAATTTGGTTGAATACTTGAATTTTAATAAGGCCTGCAGGTTTTGAACGTGAGGAATACATCTCCCTTCTTAGATCATTCCTTCCGTTTTCTTTGTAAGCTTCAAATTATGCTGATCTTGAGAGATGTTGATATTAAAACTCCATAAAGTTGTAAAGAATAATACCAGTAATTGTCATGTTGAGTTACAAAATTAATTATGTACATCAGGAAAAGTACTCTACGACCAGATGCAACTAATTGGATAATTTTGTATTGTTTTTTTCCCTAACCAAACCGACCATTTGGATACGAGTACATAACATAAATATATATATATATATTTACAGATGAAAAAAAAAAAAAAAAACCTCACATGTATACTCACGGCAGTTTGGCTGATATTTAAATTGGGTTGTTATTCTCTTACGTCCAGATATGTTAAGTAACTTTCATGGGCAAATTTTGGTGCATATTTACCTATCATGATCTAGAGCATCAAAGTACGTCCCTGCCTCGTCAATATGCTACTTTTTTAAGTACTTTTTTTTTTTTTACATAATATGCTACAATTATTAATCCATGATGAAAAAGAAAATACTATTCCGTCAACTAAACTATTACGTAGTTGTAAGTACAGTCTAATAATAAATTCATACACATTTATTTATGTGTCTAAGAGTTATAAAAGGTGTTAAAAGTATAAAATTATTGTTGACCCACCTCTTATCGGCTTAAGTTTTTGGGATTGAGTTATAAAAGGTGTTAAAAGTATAAAATTATTGTTGACCCACCTCTTAGCGGCTTAAGTTTTTGGAATGGATTGGTAAACTAACATGGTATCAGAGTGGGAGGTCCTGAGTAACCTCCGTAATTGCACTTTTTATCCCCATTTAAATTGTCATCATGTGTTGAGTCTTTAATATATTTCAGACTTAAATATTCACGTGTTGGGCTTTCTAATTAATTTATCCACACGATTGCTCATTATCTAACCCACGCGTGAGGATGAGTGTTAAAATATAAAAGGGAGAAAGAGAGAAATATGTCAAGACTTGAGATTAATTAAAATTAATAGGCCAATAGTTTACATAAGTTAATAAATATGCCAAATTACTGTTTTGTCCATAACTTGTCTGGTTATGAACCATAATTTGACAAGTTATTGTCCATAATTCACGATTTTTGTCCATAACTTGTCTGGCTATGAACCATAACTTGACAAGTTTGTTCATAACTTATCTAGTTATGAACCATAACTTGACAAGTTATGGCCTATTAATTTCTATAACTAAAAATTGGCCTATATACTTTCTTAAGCTTTTCATATTGGCTTATTTTCTACTATTTTTGAATATAAAATTATTATTAGCCTACCTCCTAATAGTTTAAGCTTTTGAGATAGATCGGTAAATTAACAAAAACACCTTAATTTATATATGTATGACATAAGGGTTATGTATTGTGATTGTGAGATTAAAGGGGAAAATCATCATGAACCGAGAGATCAAATGGCAGGCAATTAGCCACTCTAACCTATAAAGGAAAATTATGCAGTAGAACTAATTTAGAAGTGACATAAGACTAGCTAGGAGAGAAGCACCAAAATTTAACGTTTTCTTGTTGTGTTTTTCTGGGTTGGATTCTTTCCTGTTCTTTTTATTTTCTTCCTCTTTCCAAGAAGAATCTCAAGTAAATTTACCGAGGATTTAAGGGGTACTTTGACCGCTATCTGTCTGATGCAATTGTCCGATATAATTGGACTTGTATAATGTAGCATTTTATTGTTTTACCATTACTCAACGAATTATTCTAGGCATTTATAGTAACCTGGGACCTTGTACTCCGTAAACTCTTATTATTGTACATATAGTGACTAAAAAATAAAAGTCATGTTTAGAATTGATCCCGTTTTTATTTTTTATGTTTTTTAAGAAAAAAAAAATAAAAACGTTTTTAAAACGGCGTTTGGCACGATAAATATAAAAAACAGAAATGAAAATAATTTTTTAGTTTAGTGTAAAATGAGAGAGAAATGAAAAATAACTTTTAGTCATTTTTCATTTTTTGTTTTTGTTTTCTCCTCTCTCGAGCAGAGAGAGAGAAATAGAGACATTAATGAGTTTTTTTACACTGAAAACAATCTCTTGATAAAACTACCAAACACATTTTTAAAAATATTTTCTGTCTAAGATTGAAAACGTTTCCATTTTCATTTTCATAGAAAAATAAAATTATTTTGGAACGAGTTCCAAACGCGCCCAAAATTAACAACTAACATTGATTTTAGAGGATGAATGAAAGAACTAATATTAACAACTAATATTATATTAATCACAAATGTCTAAAGTTCTTATTAACAACTAATATTATATTAGCATTTAGCCACAAATGTCTTTAGTCCTTTTCATTCATTATAAATCCTCTAAATTAACAACTTAACATCTAATGCACGAAAGGAAGATAAACTCTTATATTGTACATATAGTGACTAAAAATTAAATTTAAAATTCATTGTGTAGCACAAGATATTATGGTAACGAAACAGAAGAAGAAGAAGAAGAGCTCGTGACATCTCTTGAAGCTTTTATTATTATTATTATTTATTCGCTAAAGAGGCTGGTTGTGTCTTAAATTGCCCATAAGTATAGCCGGTTATTATTTTTGGCTGCAATTTGCATAATTGAAATGCCGTACAAATTAGTCTATCAGTCAGTTTGATTTTTATGTTTAAGTAAAAAATTTGAAGATAAATTTAAATTTTTAGGAAAGAATAATATAATAAGAAGATTTGAACTGTGATTAAATCCGTTAAACAGACTGATTATTATGTTCTTTTTTTTTAATTTGAGAGGGATAAAAAATTAGTAAGGATAAATAATAATAATCGTTGGGTCAGCAAAAAAATGGTAATAATTACTGAAGGCCAATTATTGATCTGTACCGCAAAGAAAACTGCAGATCTGTGGCTGTGATCAAATTGACGGTCTAATTGGTTGTCGTTTTGCTAATAATCGCCAACGACGCACTGTAGTAACGCTGACGTGTCAAATCGTAAAAAAGACCGCCTTCCACGTCAGCTACAAGTGTCCGTCTGCCAAGACGCACGCTCTCCACTCTACTCTCGGATTCGGCGTCTCAAAATTCCACGCCGTTTCTGCAAGTCAACGCTTTGTCTATTGACCGTGTAAAGAACGCGCCAACCTTGCCGGTGAAGCATTGTAATTAAGTAGTTGGTGACCAACGCAAAACAGTCACGCGAGATTTACGGTTTTTTCTCTTTTTTTTTTAACTATTTTTACCGTGAAAAAATGAAACATTCGGCGAAATAAATAAATTGTTTTTTCTTCAAAGTGATTTATTATTATATCGTCTAGAAAGTCAACCTTGCATGTGCGGTTGATTTCAATTTTCATGTCTATATCTAGAGTCTTTATAGTCTAGACTAGATAGACCAAAATAAATTAGGGATTAGGAAACTTATTTTCTTTTTTTTTTCAAATTTTTTTAGGGGGCAGGGAGGGATTAGGCAAATTCAGTTAGTAAAAGATAATATTGGTTAATCACAAGTTAATATAAGTAATCAACTAATAACTAATAAAGTTGCCCGACCTAATCAAAAAATAGATAACATTATTCTGACAGAGATTGTTCAACTACAAATGAATGCATGGCTTATCCCCCTTTATCTATTTGTACTTTTGTGTAAATAGATTTTGTTTATATTCTTTTCAATTAGTTTTTATGACAATAATGAAGAATGGGAAGTGATTTATGACAACCCAACTCAATTGTCTTTAAATTATTTTCTTTTCTCTTCCCCACTTTATGTTAAGTTTATTTCATCTTAGAAAATCTATCTAACTCGGTAAGATTGTAATAGATACGTCATTAAATTTATATATTTAAAAGTGATTAACGATAGAAATATAATTATTAAAAATCCGTCCATATATATGGAATAGAAAAAAAAATTATTACATTTTATCTACATTCATCGATGAGAAGAATAGATAATTCATCAATAAAAATCACTAATAATTAACCCAATATAAATACCAATTACAAGTATAAGTTTGGTAACTATTCATAAAAATAGTCAATAATCGACTTAAATTACAGACAAAAAAAAAAAACGGATTGAATACTGCAAAATCAACTAAATGGATACCAAATAAAACTAAAAGGGCAAAAAAAGAGAGAGAATATGTCATACGTGTCTTTGTGTAAAATTAAATTTTGTAAATTTTTTTTATATGTACCGTACCGCCTAAAACCTCAGCCAACGAAGTAAAAAGAATTAATAATAATCTTCATCATTCCTTTCAAAAAAAATAATTTTCATCATTCCTTTCAAAAAAAAAAAAATAATTTTCATCATTCAACTGTTGGGATTGAGTTGCCTAGTTTGGAGGGATTTTTCCAAGAATTTAACCCAAAAAAAAAAACAGCTCAAGATATGGAAATTTAGAAAACTAGAAAAATAGACGCAAGTATAGAAGACTTTTGTAAGAAGAAGAGTTAGCTATACGTATTTAAGTTTTTTTTTTTTTTTTTTTTGGTTCTTCCCTTACTGTTTTGTCCCTTAAGTGTCTCTATCCACATGCAATTTCCTGTTCGTGCGCTATAAAATATTGCAGCAAAAGCAACGCAAACCTGCTCTCTCTCTCTCTGATTCTTATTTCTCACACTGACTGATCTATTTATTTTTCTAATAGTTTTCCCAGGCCTGTTCGCATGTGGTGATGCTGTTTGAGCAAGCAAATACCAGCTCATCCCCATTATTATCATCATCATTGTCGATGACCCACCTTGGGATTTTTCCTCTCCTATCAGTTTCTCAAACCGCAAGCCTTTAATGACCCACCTCTGAATCTATCAAAAAAAAAAAACCTCTGGTCCAAGAGCTAGAGAAAGAGTAGGAGAGAGCCAAATATTGTAGTTGGTAGGTGATGAATCTTTAACAACTCTGTGGACTGCTCTGCAATCAAACCAAGTAAGTTTTCTCATTTTCTCTTATTGTGTGTCTAATTTGTTTCCCGAGAAATGTTTTTTTTTTTTTTTTCCCCTTTGTTTTTCTTTTTCTCTGATCTGGGTGTTTCTCAAAAAGTGATTCCTTACTTGCCCATGTTGTTTTTGGTTGAGAGGGCTGAATTTTGTGTCCCTAACTAAATTGAAGGGGTTTTTCACTTTCTTCTGTTTTGAAAGGTTGAGCAAACCTAACATTAGTTGGCGAGACAAGCACGTAAAGAGCTCTGTCTGCTTCTAATTTTCAAACTAGGAACTGCCTTTTTTGACCGAAAATCTTAACTGTATAGCATTAAAAACATAAAAAGTCAGTCGTTACGCATAATAAAATTTGTAAAGAAACCGCCTTTACTACATACTATAACAGCTTATATACGTTTATGATTTTCATTTTGCCCAACTTTTTCTGTAGATGTGACCAAGATTTTGGAAGGAACCAAGTTGTGCTTTTTGCCTGCTTCTTTTGTGTCCTCAATTCAGACCGAGAAAATGATCAAAATGGTAGAAAATTTTCTCTTCATTTTCTCGGCCATTTTCTTGGTTGGAACAATATCAAGTGTCACTGCTGCAAACTTGGAGGAAGATAAACATGCCTTGCTAGATTTCCTTCACAACACTTCTCACTCGCACAGACTCAACTGGGACAAGGACTCTTCCGTGTGCAAAACATGGACTGGAATCATCTGCAACAGCGACCACACTAGAGTGGTGGAACTCCACCTTCCTGGTGTTGGCTTCCGTGGGCCCATCCCATCAAACACTCTCAGCCGCTTATCTGCTCTTGAGTTTCTGAGCCTGAGAGTGAACAGTCTATCAGGTTCTGTTCCCTCTGATTTCTCCAAACTTAGAAACTTGACATCGCTTTATCTTCAGTCCAACAAGTTGTCTGGTCCATTGCCTTTGGATTTCTCAGTTTGGAACAATCTGACAATCATCAATCTGTCTAATAATGGTTTTAATGGGAGTATCCCTTCTTCAATTGCCAATTTGACTCACCTCACAACTTTAAATCTCTCCAACAATTCCCTTTCTGGTCAAATTCCTGATCTCAATATTGCTAGCTTGGAAGAGCTGGATTTAGCCAATAATAACCTCACAGGAATTGTGCCTCGGTCTCTCAGGAGATTCCCAAGTTCGGCATTTTCCGGTAACAATCTCTTATCAGAAAATGCCACCCCTCCCTCTCTTCCAGCTCAACCACCAACTTCAAATGGTCGACCAACAAAGAAAACCAAGAAAAAGCTTGGTGAACCTGCAGTGTTGGCTATTGCGCTTGGCGGTTGCGTTCTTGGGTTTGTGCTGATTGCTTTGTTGATGTTCATTTGCCGCTCTAGAGGAGGAGGCCAAAGTGGGGTGGCGCTGAAACCGCAGAAGAAAGAGAGTTATTCAAAGAAAGGAGCTTCTGAGAGCCAAGACAAGACTAACAGGCTCTTTTTCTTCCAGGGTTGTAATCTTGCTTTTGATCTGGAGGACTTGTTGAGGGCATCTGCTGAGGTTCTTGGGAAAGGAACGTTTGGGACAACATATAAGGCGGCTTTGGAAGATGCAACCACGACTTTGGCGGTCAAAAGGTTGAAGGAAGTAACGGTTGCAAAGCGAGATTTTGAGCAGCAAATGGAGATTGTAGGGAACATCAGGCATGAAAATGTGGCTCCACTAAGGGCATATTACTATTCCAAGGATGAGAAGCTTATTGTGTTTGATTATTACGAACAAGGAAACGTCTCTGCTTTGTTACATGGTATGTGCTTAGAAACTTCTTCAATTCAGACCTTTTTCTTACCCTTTTGAATCATTTATAGAAAGCAATTTGAATTGCTTTTTAATGCAGGTGGAAGAGGGGATGGAAGAACTCCACTGGACTGGGAAGCTAGACTTAGAATTGCTGCTGGTGCTGCGAGAGGAATTGGCCATATCCACACACAAAATGGCGGGAAACTTGTACATGGCAATATAAAAGCCTCAAACATCTTCCTCAATTCCCAAGGATATGGTTGTGTTGCTGATACCGGTTTGGTGACACTGATGAACTCAATGCCGCCACCGGTGGTTCGAGCTGCAGGGTACCGAGCTCCCGAAGTAACCGACACACGAAAGGCAACACACGCAGCGGATGTCTACAGTTTTGGGGTCTTGTTGCTTGAGCTTCTCACCGGAAAATCTCCCGTACATGCCACGGGTACCGAGGAGGTGGTTCACCTGGTGAGGTGGGTGAATGCTGTGGTGAGAGAGGAGTGGACTGCTGAAGTGTTTGATGTGCAGCTCTTGAGGTATCCAAACATAGAGGAGGAGATGGTGGAGATGTTGCAACTGGGAATGAGTTGTGTGGCAAGAATACCAGAGAAGAGACCAAAAATAAATGATGTGGTGAAAAGTTTGGAGGAAGTTCGTCAATTCAATTCTGGAAATAGACCATCCTCAGATGTGACTAAGTCAGAGATTTCAACTCCAATCCCAACACCTGACGTTGCACCTGCAGCAGAGATAGGATCATCATCTCTTCCAAAGTGAAATTCTTTCATCATAGTTGTCAGATGTCATATAATTTTCCTTTTCTTTTTTGATTAAAATTTATTCCTAATTACAAATGCTTTTGATGGTTGTAATAGTTGTTTACCTATCTATAACATTTCACAAGATATATGGTTCTGAGATTTATACAATATATTATTTTGGCAGAAATTTGTATAACATGTTGATGAAGCAACTTTAGCTGCTGTTTAGGTTCTTAATCTGTAATATTTCTACGCAGTCAAGGCTTGATTTTTGTGCATGTGGAAGTTGAGGGCCTCTGCTAAATTACCAAACAGTGAAAACTATCTCAAACAGGGAACAAAATTGGTTTTAAACTCGAACTTCAAAGCCCGAAAATCTATATAAGAAGTTATACACGGCGGGTGGCAATAAGTTAAATTGGAGATATGAGAGAAAGGCAATATCTTTGCAGAAAGTACCAATTTTGGAACTGATATAATCACAATCGAAGGTTGAATACATCTAGAAAAGGCTGTTCCGAATTGAACCAAAAAGATGTGTAAAATGAAAGAATACAATTACAATTACAGTTCTCTTCTGTCGTATAAGAAAACAAACAAAGCGACGCGTCCAAGTTCTTCTTATGGGGTCGGATTGATGCTCAGCAGAACCTTAACGTGCACGGATAAAGAATCAATCTTTGCAAAATTCGATCCCTTATAGAGTCCAAACACACTTGGCAGCAAGTATAAACTGCAAGTCATTTCCTGATAATTCTTGTTTTTACGCCTCCTGAAATACAAACAAAATTAATAGGCTCAGCAGCTTATAAAACCAACATATCTTGCAATAAAGATGAAAATAGCAGTCGAAGGAAAAAAAAAAAAAAAAACATAGCACAAAAATGGTAAAACAGACCTTCAACTTCCTCAAATTGAACCTCCTTCACGAACTCGGCGCCTGCATGATACTCAAAGCTACAAAAAATAACAAATAAAAAAAAAATCATGGCAATAATTCAGTAAACATCTCTTGAACTAGATTCAGACATTTTCTTCTACTATCATGTCTACAAATGGAAACAAATATAGTAGTTTAGAAGGCAGACAATCCTGCTTACAAAACCACAGGTGTTTATCATATCAAGAGGATATACAGAGACCAAAGAACGGCCCTTAGCAAAATCAGCCCCTTTTGGTGCCTTTATTTCATAGGTTTGAACTACAATTCAAACCTTTTGCTATTTTCTTTCACAAAATTTGAATTTCTATTCATACCTAGAACCAAGCAGTCCGTTTGTCCTCTTTACGTAAAATTAACTACACATAATAATTCCTGTGTTACTTCCAGAAACAAAAGAACTCACAAGATATACGAAGTAATGGCACCTGATATACGTGTGAAAGTAGAGTTTTATGCTTAAGTTGGGGAAGGCTGAATTGCCCCGAAAGTATATATTGACCCTTCCTACGTTTTATCTATGTATCTCATGACAGTATCAACAAAAATCAGAGTATCAAATGATTAGTTGTCCCAAAAAAATCTTAAAACTTTCACGAAATCCCAATACTTAGCAGAAACAACACTTGATGCTTGATCCATGAAAAAGTATAAAAGACTGGACATTCAAATTGTGTATGCAATTAATCATGTTCTTGGACCAAAGCTAGTATAAGTATTTTACCTGTTAGAGAAAGCAACCTCAAGCTCATAGTTGGAGGCATTCTTAGTGGCTTCAACTAACACAGTGACAATTTCGGTTTTCCGAGTGCTAGCCATTAGCAAATCATACTCCGTCGGAATGATAATGGAGAAGAAATTATCACTCAACTCACTCAAGCACATCTTATCCACAGCAGCCAGGGCTATTCTCCGTTTAAGTGAATTATTCTCCGGATCAACAATGTATATGGCAAAATCAGTAATCAACAAAATTCTTCTTTTCATCTTCCCTGAACCAGTAAATTTCAAAACTTTATCCGCGAAAAGAACCTGATTGTCCCCTGCAAGATTCAATTAACAGAATATTCCAGATTTTGAGATCGTTTGTTCAAATTGATCAAAATATCCGCAAATGAACCAACAAAACAACAATCCTAAAACCGCGAACAAATATTCGAATTCAATTGAATGTTAACGGATTGGAAACAATGGCGGACCTTGTTTCTGCAAGATTTTCATCAAGTAAGGATGGGAAGGGACGTCGATGTAATCTCCTCTGTATTCTCTGTGGAAGGAGGTTTTTCTTCGAACCTTGACGCCCATGAAGGGCTCCTGATCTTCCGTCCGGTTCCTCTCGGAGGGTCTCAATCTCATTCCTCCGTCGTCTCCGTTGCCGTCGCCATCGTATTTCGGCGGCGGAGACTCCGATTGGGCGTCGTCGATTTGGACCCGCCGCTGCGACTTGAACCGCTGCATTTTGATCACTTTTGGGGCCGGGTCGAACCGAAATGAGAGGTTGAAGAAGGGGAATTTTGCGAGTTTGGTGGGCGTGTAGACAGTAGGGAACGCTAACTTGCGCCGCAGGTGCGATGCGCACCACGTGCCGACAGCAGCCGGTGGTTTTGTACCTCTGAGCTGGAAATTTCTCTTTGTGCTACTCTACGCGGCTGCGCACGTTATCAATTTTCATATGTTATCGCGATCACGCTATTCCACTTCCATTTGGGATGAGCTTTTTTTTTTTGTAAGAAAAATTTTATTATTAAATTAACAAATTACATAAATAGTCCATAAACTATAGCCTTATTTAGTTCAACAACTATTATTGATTTGATTTGAGTTGTGGTGTTTAAATTATAGTGATTTTAACTGCGATTCGAATCGATGCTTGAATACACAAATAAATTATAATTTGAATTATTAATAAAATCTGAACTGTATTTGGATATAGTGTTAAAAATTGTCACATCAGAGTTTTGCAACAAATATTATAAAATCTCATTGTAAATGGGGTTAAAAAATATGTAATATTGATGAGGATTTGTTCATCTCTTCATTATGAACATATAAGGAAAAAAAAACATATCAATTGGAGTTGAAACGTAGAAGTTATAATGCCCCTGTTTGGTTCACTGGTTTGAATTTTGTTGATTTAAAATTTTTTGTGTAAACATAAAAATTCAAACTGTGTGGTTTGAATTGTAGTTCGAATTGACGTTTGCATGTGCATTTAAAATTCTAATTTGAACATGGAATAAAATTCAAATTTGTGTCGAAAAGCAAAGAGAGTGAGTATCTTTTTATTGTCTAAAAATGGTTTGAACGGTTTAGCTTAAGGAAGAGGTAAACTCTAAATTTGACAGTTTAACTCAGTTCAAATTGAGAATATAAGTCAAACTGCATGCTTACCAAACACGAATTTAAATTGTGCTCATTGTTTGAACTGAACTAAACAAGTGACACAAATGAGAGTAACATTTTTAAGCTTAAAGATAAAGAGATAGAAAAAATAAAAAATAATTGTTTTTGAATTGTTGTCAACAATCCAGATTGTGAATAATTTAAATTGTGCTCATTGTTTGAACTGAACTAAACAAGTGACACAAATGAGAGTAACATTTTTAAGCTTAAAGATAAAGAGATAGAAAAAATAAAAAATAATTGTTTTTGAATTGTTGTCAACAATCCAGATTGTGAATTTCAAGGGTATTGAATTTTAAAATCAACCATTAAAAATTTAGTGGATGGTTTGAATGGTCCATTTTTATTTATAGAACAAACACTAATTTAAACCTTTAAACATAATTCGAATTGAATTGTTTGGTTTAAATTGTTTAACCAAACAAGGGTTATAAGTAAATTCGACTTGGACATTGATTGCATTTGTCAGTAAAGACGGTTGCAATATAAGGGTGAACACAATTATTGAGATTCAATAGAAAAAGACCCGTTCGGTACAAATAAAATCAAGCGTGACCAAAATTAATAAGAACTACCACAGTTAATGGATAAAAACCAATCGATTGAGATCAAACCCTTAATATTGAAAACACAAATGTCGCAACCTAGTAACAAAAAGTTAGGTTTAAATTATAGTGATTTTAACTGCGATTCGAACCGATGTTTGAATACACAAATAAATTATAATTTGAATTATTAATAAAATCTGAAATGTATTTGGATAAAGTGTTGAAAACTGTCACATCAGAGTTTTGCAACAAATATTATAAAATCTCATTGTAAATGGGGTTAAAAAATATGTAATATCGATGGAGATTTGTTCACTTCTTCATTATGAACATATAAGGAAAAAAAACATCTCAATTGGAGTTGAAACGTAGAAGTTATAATGCCCCTGTTTGGTTCACTGGTTCGAATTTTGTTGATTTAAAATTTTTTGTGTAAACAGAAAAATTCAAACTGTATGGTTTGAATTGTAGTTCGAATTGACATTTGCATGTGCATTTAAAATTCTAATTTGAACATGGAATAAAATTCAAATTTGTGTTTGGTAGGTGCGAAAAGTAAAGAGAGTGAGTATCTTTTTATTGTCTAAAAATAGTTTGAACGGTTTAGCTTAAGAATGAACTAAACTCTAAGTTTGACAGTTTAACTCAGTTCAAGTTGAGAATATAAGTCAAACTGCATGCTTACCAAACACGAATTTAAATTGTGCTCACTGTTTGAACTGAGTTGAACTGAACTAAACCAGTGAAACAAATGTGAGTAACATTTTTAAGCTTAAAGATAAAGAGATAGAAAAAATAAAAAATAATTGTTTTTGAATTGTTGTCAACGATCCAGATTGTGAATTTCAGGGGTATTGAATTCTAAAATCAACAATTTAAATTTTAGTCGATGGTTTGAATGATCCATTTTTATTTCTAGAACAAACACTAATTTAAACCTTTAAACATAATTCGAATTGAATTGTTTGGTTTAAATTGTTGAACCAAACAAGGGTTATAAGTAAATTCGACTCAGACATTGATTGCATCTGTCAGTAAAGACGGATGCAATATAAGGGTGAACACAAGTATTGAGATTCAAAGGAAAAAGACCCAATCGGTACAAATAAAATCAAACGTGACCAAAATTAATAAGAACTACCACAGTTAATGGATAAAAACCAATCGATTGAGATCAAACCCCTAATATTGAAAACACATATGTCACAACCTTGTAACAAATTTAGGTTTAAAAGTAAACTAACGAGTAACGAGTAATTTAATAATAAAACATTATTAAAAAAGAGTTTGTAAAAAGTAGAGTAAGAGGTATCAACACGACATTCAAATTTTTCTTTCTAAAACACATGCATATTCAGTCAAAATAAATTTCTTCACACAAAAAAGTAAAATAAAAAATATTTTTTACCGCGAATATCAATAATTAAATTTCTTAAAACACATGCATAATCAGTCAAAAAAATTTCTCAGTAAAATAATTGAAAAATCTTAATTTTCTTCCTATTTCCTTCATTTTAGTTGGCGAGGAATCTCGATTCTCGAAATGGTGACTATTTTTTAGAGACTGTGGCGTTTGGAACCGTTTTTTAAAATGGTTTTCATGTATTTTGAGAAGTAAAAAATGAAAATGAAAACGAAACGACGTTTGTTTAACAAATGTTTTGAAAACGAAAACAGTGAGAATGGTTTTTGTGAAGAAATTAGAAAACAGTTAAAAATTATTTCCACTTTTCTGTTTTTATTTTTTTAGTATTTATCAATAATATTATAATATATTAATTAATAAATACGATTTCACTTTTTTATTATACTCAAAACAATCTTTTAAAAAATTAACTAAATATAATTTCAGAATCACTTTCAAAATGATTCTCAAAATAATCTCATTTTTATTTTTTATTAAAAATAAAATTATTTTAAAATTAATTCTAAACGCACTCTTTATTTTGTGAGCAAAGATGATGACATAAAAGAAATGATTACATTTTATTTATTTATTTTTCATAAAAAGGAGAAGAAATCCCCTAAATAAAAAAATAAAAAGAGAATGAAAAAAAAAAACATAGGTTTCTGTCACCGATCACCGTTATGCGATCCAATGATATTTCTCAAAAGAAACTTGGTTGACAGCTTTTAACCAATCACGACGTAGCATACCAACTTATCACGACGTCGTTTTTATCCACCAAAATGCCACGTGGCAATTGCCGTCCTCTGGTTTTGTAATAATATAAGACCGTTCGGTTCGTTAATTTGAGTTGAGATGTGATATTATATAAGAATTTTTTTATTATAGTAAAAAAATTAGATGTGATTACTTCTGAGAAATTTTTACTGTAACAAAATTTAAATTTTAAACTCAAATTAACGAAATGAACGAGACTTAAATTCTTACTGCAAGAAAATTAAATAGATAGAAAACCGCCTTTCATTGAGCGACAAGACCAATTTCTTCGAAGAAAAGGAATAAATAAATAAACAAATTTAAGAGGAAAAGGGAAAGTGGGACCCAATTAAGACGAATAGAATATCAATCAGCCAATGAGAACCCGGATTCCGCAAAATCCAGGAGGCGGGAGCAGGTACTATATTATAAGTCATCCCCACACCAGATCGCTTACCCTTCCTCCATTTCTTCTCCTATCTTCTTCTTCTTCTTCTTCCTCCTCTTCAACTTCATCTCTTCGAGGTAATCGCGAAAGCCCTAGGGCGATCTCCTGCAACCTTGCTCTATCTCAGGTACGCTACGATCTCTTCGTTGATGCGCTTCTGTCACGTCTCTCTTTATCGGTCCCGTCTGTGTCTATTCGATTGTGATTTTGTGATCTGTTAATGGTGGTTTCCGATATTCGGAATTAGGGCTTTACAAATGGCGTCGAAGCGGATCTTGAAGGAACTCAAGGATTTGCAGAAGGATCCTCCTACGTCTTGCAGCGCAGGTATTGTTTATTTTTCATGTTATTTTTCTTTTTTATCTTTTTGGTTTATAATTTTGCGTGTTTGTTGCATAATCTTTGATGAGTTTGATTTCGTAGTTGATTATTCTTTGGAACCTTGGTGATCCTGCGTTTCTTTTTGAATGAAATAAACTCGTTTTGATTTTGTTTTGTTTACATCTGTTTCGGACTTTTTGTTGCATCTAATGTTGTAGAGCTTTTATTGGTGTTGGAAATAACATGTGATGAAAATCGTGAATGTATTTTCGCTTAAAACATGTAAAGTTGTATGATGAACTTCCCCCTCCCCCCCTTCATGATGATGCCTTTCCTTTTCATGTGCTTCTTTGTCTTAATTCAGTTGATGATGTCTGTTGAAATCATTTGTGAAAGTCATGCTCCTGTTCTTTATTGAGAGTTTTGGTTAATCTTGAGCATTGGCTCTTTCTTTGGGGATTTTACAGGTCCTGTTGCTGAAGACATGTTTCACTGGCAAGCAACGATTATGGGTCCTCCAGACAGTCCCTATGCCGGGGGTGTTTTCCTCGTTACCATCCATTTCCCCCCGGATTATCCCTTTAAGCCACCCAAGGTATGCTTTGGACCATGATGATTAATATTTTGGGTTTGAGACTTAGTTTATCTTGATTGCTGATTTTAGATACTTACCTATATATTCCTGATAGGAAGCTCTCTTGCTGAGCTTCCTTCATTCGAACTTTCGAATAATGTTAGCACCTCTCTAGCTCCGGCCTTCTCACTGTTTTGTGTTAGGAATCCAAGAAATAGCCTCTCTTGCGGTTAACTGTTACTATATTAGATGTCGAACCTTGGAGGCCACCTGTCTTATAGAGACAACTCTGTCTAAGATCAGAGTCTTGGTTGATTCCGTGTTTGTATGGTGGCATGTATTATATGGCTCTCTTCTTTTTACCCTTTTGTCTGTCCTGGAATGTCTATGGGGTGCTCCTGGTTATTACTTTATTTGAATTTATCCACAGTCCAAAGTTTGTCTTAAGCGTGTGGATTTATGAAGCTTAAAGATTTTTGCCGACAGAACTAGGGTGCTGCTGTCATTGTCACGTAATCACATATTGCATAATTGCATCGGATTGTAGGGGTCCGATTTCTCCCTCTCCCTCTCTCTCTCTCTCTCCCACATTGGAGGACTTTTGCAGGTGGCATTTAGAACAAAGGTGTTCCACCCAAACATAAACAGCAATGGAAGCATTTGCCTTGATATCTTGAAGGAGCAGTGGAGCCCTGCTCTAACTATCTCGAAGGTTCTTGTCTTATAACCCTGATATTGTGAATATAATTGAAAAAAAGCAGCACTTATTGGGATCTATAATTAATTGTGGAATGACGATAGAATTACTAGAGCCTATAGGGCTAGTTTTTCTCTCTCTCTTTCTCTCTCTCCCTCTGTGCTTGTGTGTGTCAACCCCTCTGTAGGTGCAGAAGAGAGTGACTTTAAACCTTGTCATTTGTGCACCCTCTTTAAATTATATACGTCAATGTGCAATCAAAACGTGGTTCATTTGAGTTCTTTAACGGAACATCATGTTTTTTATGAATCTAATTTTGAGTCTTGAATTCAATAGGAGACAAAAGTCTTTTTTTTATTTTATTTTAAATAATCGGTTTATGTTGTGGAGTCAATTATTGTTTGGTTTCTGTCTCCAGGTGTTGCTTTCAATCTGCTCTCTTTTGACGGACCCAAATCCCGATGATCCATTGGTGCCGGAGATTGCTCACATGTACAAGACGGACAGAAACAAGTACGAGACAACTGCGAGGAGCTGGACCCAGAAATATGCCATGGGCTAAAGGAAACATGGTATGTGCGATGGAGGGAAACCTATTATCTCTGAGTATTTAGCCTTGTAGCCCCAAGGATGAAATGTTCTTCCATCACTTGAATCTTGACATTGTCTACGCAAGAGGTCCATTAGCCTATATTGGTTGAAAAATGAAAGAAACACCGGCTATTTTTTAATCAATTGTTTGTAATTGTGATATTTGGAACAATACGTGTTGCATAGAACTAATGAACTATCCTTGTTTATTTTTCAGTTAAAAAGATAACAAATTTATCATATGCAGCTAAATAGTCATGCCGTATAAATAAACAACTCGAAATGCAGAAATGGGTTTTGAGTTTTGGGTCAAAATGGAAAATCAGTGAATCAGAGGGGATGAAACTATAGCTAATTTATGTCAACTTTCTTGTTAGTTTTTTGGGTGTCCATTAGTTTTTTGGGTGTCCATTGTTCATGCATGTTATTTATGCCGTATAAATAAACAACTCGAAATGCAGAAATGGGTTTTGAGTTTTGGGTCAAAATGGAAAATCAGTGAATCAGAGGGGATGAAACTATAGCTAATTTATGTCAACTTTCTTGTTAGTTTTTTGGGTGTCCATTGTTCATGCATGTTATAAATAACAATTTTTCGTCAAAAGCAAACCCGGGCTCCCGAATTGTTAATTGTTATAGGCGTATCAACTTTTAGTCAGAATTGGTTGCGCGTATTTTTTAGGTTCAATCGTACCAGTTAAACAATCTTTATCAATTAAGAAGTTCCTGTACAAAAAATTCATTAAAATAAGCAGGACCGAAAAGATGGTAGATTTTCTGTTCTAGCACTTGAATGTGGTCTCTTGTCCATTAACAGTCAGATTCTGCAGCTTGTCGGCAACTTGTTGATAGCCAATGAAGTTGCCGTGTAAAATATCCAACTACCTTCAACTGCATTACGTATCCGTCACATTGTCATTTAAGAGGAGTTTAGTAAAAAAATTCATACCATCATTTAAATTATGGTTCATAATTTATTATAATATTTTTTTTATAAAAAATATACATAAATTAAAAATAATTTTAATCTCATAATTTTAATTCATGAACTAAACGTCTTC